CCAGCAGCTCGCGGGATTTCGCAGGGCTAATTACCGTGCAGTAGGCGACCATCGCCGACCCCCTCGCGTGCGGATTGTCAACTTTCCCCCGGAGAAAGCCATGGGCAAATTGAACCCGAGGGACTGGGAGGATGAATGACAGGTCCTGTCGTGGATACGACCTCTCCCAGCCATACTACCGGAATCCTTCGACGCAACCGGTTTCGGGCAACGGCGAGCCTACGTCGAGTCGAGGGTGAAGAGCCGACGCCAGCCAAGGATCGTGAAAGTTTAAATGTCTTTCCAAAATGACTCCCCCTCAAGAGCACGACTCTCTCTGCTTTCGGGATGATAGCCCGCTTGAAAGCTTGGCTTCTTACTGCGGTAGTCTTAGGGCCGCAACTACGTACACCTACCTCCCCAAGCACCGCAATCTATAGTCATCGGAGATGCGAACACTAACTGATAGCAAGCGCAAGCTTTGGGTTGCCGCCCAACACGTGTTGGTGTGCAACGATCTGGTGATGGAATTGTTCTAGAAGGTGGGTGGGGAGGCCTTCCGTCCCAGGAAATGAGTCCCGGAAAGCTACGAAGAGGGGCCGGGGAAGGGAAGCCGGTGAATTGCTGTCGGTAGGGTGGCCTTGGTTGGTTGGGGAGGGAAAGGGGGGGGGGCGTGGTCTTCCCTCCGGCGGGGGGGCTAGTCTCCGGCGGGGTGTTGGAGGTTGGAGATGGAAAAGGGCAGACGGCATGGGTCTGCAAGAAAATAAAATAACAAAATAATAATAAAAAGGGCAATATAAACGAGTTAACAGTAGGTGTGGTGGTGGGAGGTGACAGTTGGCGTAAAGGAGGGTGAGGAGAATAACTACGAGTCCCCCCCCCCCCCTGGCGAGGCCTGGTCAGAAAGCTTCGGGAACGCGCTACACCACGAAGGGGAGAGAACCCCGAGGTCTACCGAGCAAGGTGTGGCCCGGATTGGGCGTGAGCCAGCGTGGTCACCCGAAATACTTTCGTTTTTCCACGAGATGGTGCCGTGGAAGGACCGACGGTGGAAAGTCTGAAAGAAATCATCGAAGATCTCATCCAAAGTTTATCACTTTAAATTATTATTTGGGTTAAAACAACAGAATGAAGAGGGTTGGGAAAGAGAGAGAGGGGAGATAGGATTACGCCCTCGGCAGCCCATTCAGATCGCTTATTCTTTTCCCGTTCGCTCTTCTGTCTGAAGGCAGGGTAGTGTTGACAAGCGGGGGAAAAGACCGTTTATGGCGAACGGTTGGGAAAGGCGATGCGGCGAGCATTGTCGCGAATAATGAAGATCATAGCGAACGAATGAGAGGAGCGCGCGTTTGCTTGGATTCTTGAACCACCAAATACCAAAGCATTAAAGTTAGAGAAGTGTTCGAATGCGGCCGCGATGTTCCAACATTGGCTTGAGTCCATCCTGAGCAGATTTTCCAAAACTCTCATCGCTCGGAAGTCGTGAAATTATATTATGGACTCTGAGGAGGCGTTTGGGCTTGGCTGGACTCTCTTTCTGTTGGAGCTGAATAGGACCCTGCAGCTGGTCTTGTCACACTGCACCAAACTGCAAACTTGGGATCAGAGAAATTAAGGTTATGTCCTTTCCCCCTCGAACGCCTTGAACACGGTGACACAAACAGCTCGGTGACGGTCGGTCAGTGCTTCCTGCGCTTCGGACTTCCCTAGCACCTGGCCAAATTCCCTTTGCCGTTTGACGTTTTGGGGTGGTTGGTAACTCGTCATCGGGGTAGCTATCATAAACACTCGAAACCAAGGACGGATAGAAGCCCGGATAGGCGTTTATTTAGAAAATGAAAGAGAAATAAAAAAAGTAATAATTCCAAGTAATAGCCGCGCTGTACCGTTAACAGATGGCGAGAAGTATCCTGACGAAGTACCTGATGTACCGTCAATCCTGAGTCATTATTCCCAACAACGAGCACCACCACTGAAGCCTATGCCAGAAGACAAAGGTGTGAAATCATTAAAGGAAACATATCAACCACGCCAGAGCAAGGGGGAAAAGACATGGACCCGGCCGGCAACGCGTAACGGGAGCTCCCCGTCTGCCGTGCAGAATCAATGTCTTGGATTTTTCCCTCCCGAAGAGGGTGTTGGTAGAGAGACGGGTAGACGCTCCAATAGTGATGGGGTTGTATGACATCAAGCCTTTTCCCCCCATCGGCGATGACAGGCTTGGTGTCGCGCCAGTATTGGGATAGATCATCACCAACTTCTATTCCCCCTCCAAATGACCACACCCCCAACGGAAAATCAGTTCTAAAAAATGGACTGTGGGTAGCAGGAATTATCAGATCATGGGATCTATGGGATCTATGGGATCTGACTTGATCGATGAGAAGACCGTATCCAGTCAGATGGTGATCGATGTCAGGGAATCTGACACGGATTCCCCGTATGTTTTTGGTGCGAATGGGAACTGGGCAAACGTCACTGACGTCTTTCTTCGGGGGTGGGGAATTAAGGGACCATGGGGTTCAAGACACAAACTCTGATCAAATCTGGGGAAAACTTGGTCACCCGAGCCCCACGATTTCGTCAACTTCCAAGTCAGCCTTGCCGATGGGGTTTGCGTCCCAGTTCCAGACCTTTAATGTTTGGCCGACGGGATGGCCTGGAACAGACGAACGAGTCAAACTCCCGGGACCTTTGTTGAGGAAAAACAAGAAAATGCGAATCTCGTGAGGTCCCAGAGGTTCACAATGGACTGATTTTGGGGTGCGGTTCTGGGGTCCGAACTGGAGTCCAGACGTCGGATCCGGGGTAGACGATAACGTCATGTTCCCCCCACCTGGGGGGAACACTCTGTCTGCCGTCAGGGTTGTCTATCATTACGGGATGAGGAATCTCCATCCCAAGATTGAAACCACAATTGACTCCGTTTTGACGTCTGTCGAACTCCAATTGTGGAAAAGAAAACACGAGGTTAGAAAAATATGAAGAAAAAATAACAAAATGGTACCCACGAATAATGAAAAAATTAGTAAAATGTTTAGCGCTTGAGGAACTGAGCATAACCCTGCTTTTTCTTGGACCGTTTCAAGCTCTGGAGAAGCAATCGACAGCAGGGAAAACTACACGCACGCACACCCTATGAGGAATTCGAATTAGGCATTCTGCATCTGTATGCAGAACATGCTGCAACGATACAACCAGGGGGGAAAGACGAGTGGGGGTTCGCAGTGAGAAGAAAAAGAAGATCCAAAATGCACGTCAAAAGTCGGTGAGGCAAGCCGTACCGCTCGGCTGACTGCCACGACAACAAGAGAGGTGTGGAGTTTCTCTCGTCCTTTCCCAATCGCATTTTGGGTGGTGAGGGGCTACCTGTACACCACAATGACCACACACATACACAAAGAGAAGAGAGAACGAGGCACAACACCAAGAGAGGATGGGGGTAGCAAAGGCGTGATCTAGCTTGTTGTTGTGCTTTTCCCCTCTAGAGTCGTATCCGTAGCGGTGTCCTGCAACACCCGATAGCCTGCTCTACTTCTGCATCGGCCCCTCCATCCTCGACGTGCCTCGCCTTGAGCTTTGAGCTGGCTCTGAAGCTACCAAGGCTATCTCGTCAACGGCGCCTCGTCGCGGGAGCGAGTCCCGGACCCGGCAGCGGGTTTTGCGTGTGTGGTTGGCGTGGCTGCTTGAACGAAAGGTGTGGCAGTCGTCAGCCACCAATTGAGTTCTGGCAATCGCATCACCAAACTAATCAACTGGCTCTGAACTCTCAATACCACACGCTCAAACCAGATCGGCCCCTTGCATGTTGCTTGTTCACCAAGCGTATTTCGATATCGAGATTCGACAGATGGTCAATTGCAAACCAATTCATGTCACCAATTCGTTCTCGGTTTCGAAACGGCACGAGGTGGATCACGCGATGGAAATCTGAACAACCACCACGCAAAACGTCGACCCTACTGTTGCAATTGCGACTTCTCGCCTAAGTCTCAAACTCGAACTAAGGCAGGCCGACCACCGATGATGGACAACTCACCACCTCCCTCTTTCCTCCCGCCGCTAATACACCACAGCAGCAAGAGAGAGGGCAAGAGAGCCAGTCAATAGAAATCTGCAACTCCACGCGGGCAAGGCGCAAAGAAAAGAAGCGGTTACACACCCTCTATCCTTTCGCCGCCCCCCTGCGCGGGCAGCTGGAGCTAAAAAGCTCGGAAACAGCCTTAACCGCCATCAACATCCTCGTTCGTCGGGCAGAGCGGTGAAGAATTACACGGTCTGTCTCGAGGGTGTATATACCGGACCTTGCCCTTCGGCTATGGAAGAAAAGGGCATCTCGTGGCCTGGCCAAGCGCAACACCCCCCACCAAAGATGCAGCACCCGTTCAAGAGGGAGAAACTTATTACGTGCAGTATAACGATGCGGGGTGGTTCCCTCTGTGCGTGTACTGCGTATGTTCTTTAGCTTTTCTGAACCCTTGACCAAAGCCTAGAGGCGAAGAGTCATCGTGTGCCCTTGTCGTTAGTAATCTGACGTGTTCTTCTGGCATTGCTTCTCTGTGGTGGGGGTTATTGGAAAAGTGAGGGGTTTCAGGGCTTTCTCAACACCAAATTTGGCCTATTCTCCATTTCGAGAATTGATACTGACCAAAATGCCGCGTTTCCTGGGGAGGGGGTGGAAAGTCAAGACTGAAGCTTGGGCATCAACAATGGCTTGAGGAGAACAGTCACACGCACAGCAACGGGGAGAGGGTCAAGCATTGAGCTGGCCCAGAAGGAAGCAAAAAGTGATAGCTTCGTCTGCCCCTCACTATCGTCGCCATTTCTGCCTCGCCAACGAGGTCGTGGAGGGGTAAACGAGGCCTGGGGTGTAAGCCTTGCCCCCCAAAGGCCAAAGGCCCAGGTAGGCCGTCGCTGGTGACTGACGAGGCATCGTGGCCCTACCGCGGCTACGTGCGGATGCAAAGTACTCAAAGTCCCTGCAGAATCTGTGACCGTCCATCACGGTTCCGCATCCCCGAATGAGGGGGGAGGCCGCGATCCGGTGCATCGTGACCCCCCGTCCGTTCAGCTACAGCTTACAGGGCGTTCCGCATATCCCGCCATGCGCCTTCACTCAATCTGTCTTTCTCTCTCGGGCATATCCCGACGATTGATTACCTTGACCTTACAGCGACACACGCCCTGCCTGGTAGTACGGGGCCCGAGGCAAAACTCGGCCACAATTGTAAGGGACCTTTGTCATCGTTATACAAGTCACGTTGAACGACTACGTGGGCTATCGACAGGAGGCAACCAGTTGTACCGCCCATCTCTTCATCGCCGAAGAGGGAACCAAGATCCCGCCCCGTCCGAGTTACGCCTCCCCCGAACCGCGGTGCGGACATTTCCCCGCGAACTATCCGTACCTACCTCTCTGTTCCGCGCGTGATGCGGGTAGTCTGGGTCCATTTGGAGGGAGGAGAAGAATTCGTCAGCTCCAGGCGCAAAGCCACACCCTCTCACGTGCCACTTCTGCCCCACCCCGAGAAGTTGGGGCTTAGCTCGCGCTCCGTCCTGAGGTGTCCGTCTCCAAAACTTCGGCCAAACGGCGATGCCGCGGGCCCCGCAAAGCCACCACAGCCTCAGGTGGATACCCCAGCAGCTTACGCAGTCACGTGGTAGTGTGAAAAGACCAAGAGCCGCGCACAAAAAGCCACACGCACGGTCCCTCCAAGATCGCACCACGTGCTTCTGGCCTACGGGTCCGGGGGTGGTGAGGGCCAATGGAGCCAATCATTGTGTCCAATCACACTACTTCATCCCAAAGATGCCATACCCTTGACGCTATTTTGTAAGCCGGCCCCTCTTCTTCGAGGTGGAGATGGTTCACTGGAATAAGTAGAAAAAAAATATTCGAATAAAATATTGAGAGAAAAAAAAAAAGATACAACGTTTGAACAGTCAGCGAAAAAGCCAAGATGGCACCGGGAAGACCTCGATCCCACCCGCGGCCTTATTATGGAGTTGCACCCACAGTCCAGACTTTTGCCTTGCAAGCTGAGCATGTCGGAGAGTTCGCTGCACCTGATCCAATTGAGTGCATACATCGAAACCTCCCTATGGTGTTAGTACGAATAGCAGGCTTGTATTCGCCAGTTTACCGGCACTTATTATGTGAGCCGCATGGTTGTCTGAGGCAAAAGGCCAAGAGCCATCAATTCGCCATCCCTCTCCATTACTCCATCACCGAGTTGGAACCGAAATAATTTCGTCACCCATTCACGGAGGTTGTGGATATACACAGTAGGTTGTACTAAGAAAAAAATCATCTTTTTTTATTCGCTTGAATTACCATAGAACAAGGCATCTACTGTGGTTTCTTCTTTAGCTGTCACGTCCCCATAACGCACACCAAGTGTTAGTAATCCAGTCTGATCCAATGGACCGGCCCAGATGACCGGCCTTCCGGAGGTGGTTCCGATGCGGACGAGATTCCGCACTCCTGTCTCACCAACCATTCTGTTGCAGTGTTCCAAAAGCCTCAACACCCAACACCATATTTTAGCTCACATGCATCCACCGGCAGTCGGCAATCTCTTCCTTTGACGTGCCAGATCTGAAGCGGGGAATCGCATCATCTCGACATCGGAAGAAGGGGCTTGGCATTATCGGATTGACAGTATCCTGCTTGAATACCTTGGATGGGTAGTGTTATAGAGTTCACCTCCGGGAGTCGCAGCTATGCCAAGCAGGAGACAGCTTGGATGGAACTCGTCATACCTTTCCGGTTCCCATTATCGGCAACTGGACGGCAGGCTGCTTACAACCAACGGCATCGAGCACGGTCACATAGTTCGGAACGTTGACAAAGGTTTAATCGGATCCGGCACAGTCACACCTGCCCCTCGAATACAGTTTCCCGATTGAGGGTGGCATTCAATATCTTCCCCTGCCCGTCTGCCCTGTGTCAGAAAAACAGCAAAAGGACGATATGCTTTTTAGCCCTACTGCGTTTTCCCAAATCTCGAAACTACCTCGGGCCTACTTTTCGCTCCTTTCGACGCTTGATACTCATCTCGGGCAGTCTAGATGCCGGGTCCAGAATCCCAACCACCACGAAAATGGTCTCCAACGAAGAACCCGGACATGCTAGGCCTTTCTAAATACCGAAAAAGAAAGGAGGAGAGAATGTGGAGTTTCTTGGAGCCGTTCCTAACAATTGCTAATTAGATCTGGAAACCCTCTAAAGTGGCTAACTCAGCATCCACGAAATCCACTCACTCCCGACCCCATCCCATTGCCTTCTTCTCCAAATTTTGTCACGCAGAGAGAAGGGATGGGACGGAGGACTTGTGGACGTGAGCCAGTGAACCCAGGGCCCAGAGCCTCATTGGAACTCGTTACGTCGCGGGCCTTGCGCGCACTCGCCGAACCGTCTCAACGAAACGCGCTCCCTCGTCTTTTCTTCTTCTCTTTCTCCACAAAGGCGCCGAGTCCAGTGGCAGTGAAGGACTCGGGGTTCCTTACACGCACACCTAACAATGCCCTCCAATCACCAACCTCCTATTCTCCAGAACTTACCAAGTAACACGATCCCTCCTCGCGCAAAAAGCCGGTACAGAACCACGCCCATTCAAGAAAAGAATCGGGGAAACCTAGCCCCGTCATGAACTATGAGCAGATTGCAATTACCTGGGGTTCCAGCTAGTAGTATACATCTGCCCACATGAAACTGCCCGAATATATAGAACCGTGTAGACGTGGCGGGGGAAGTGGTTGCGGATCAAACACGATTAACCTAACGATTCCACACTACCAACCGCATCATGCTCGCGTGGCATCTTTGAACAGAACGCGTTCGAGACCTCTTCGGCCACTTTGGGACAATTTTCAATCTCTAGAGCCGGTGCACTTTACCTATCGACAATAATTCCAGCGAAGTTGACCGCGAAAAACACTGCGACGCAACTGCAGTAGTGTCAAGACCGCCCAAAAGAAAAAGCACGCCCATGCGCATAATGATGCGCCAGCCGGCAGAGTAGCATCGGGGGAAAGAAAAAAGACGCTTCCAGTTTTCTAATTGGCGTTTCTTCCACGCTATCGAATTCGACTCAATTGAAGGATGGGAAACTCGTATCGAGAGAGTTCGGCGTGCGCGATATCGATAATTCAACCATCGTATCAGCAGCCAGCAAGTTAACCAAGTATTGTCGTCTTCTCGATTGGTGCGCGGGAAGTAGGATGAAGGTAGATCGACCACGGGCAAACCCGCCTGTTCTCTAGATAGCTTCAGCACAGGCTTTTGCACATGTCAGCGCAAGATACACCCGTCGCCGCCCCCGGATGCGTGACATCAAGGACGCAGCAACTCCGACTGACCCTTTGTTTTTTCCCGCTGGGACGATGAGATATGCAGTGGTCTGGGCTCATACTTGGTTCAGCATCCACAGCAATGACCTTTCAGCGTCTGCTTTTCTGCCGTTCAATGTCTCTACACTTTTACAGAGAGTACTTCCTCATCTGCCTCATTTCCATCAACAATCGAAGCCCCGTTTTCTCGTGACACAAGCCAAAAGGATCAATGCAATCGCAAGCCTTTGTTGTCCTTTGCTTCCCCCCCGCAATCTCAAAACCAGATGTATCAGAGAAATCAACGAAAAGGAAAACCGAATTAAACGCCTCTCTGCGGCCGGCCGCTCCCCCCTCACTCTCGCAAAGGACAAGAACGCCACGATATTTTAGCCAAAGACATAGAACAGGGCAGACACGGAGCCGCGACACAATGTAAGCCGCAAGGCTCATCCGCAGTATAGGGGGGAGGGGAAAAAAACCCGGCAATGTGCCGGAGGCGCGCATACCCAAGTCAAGAGAAATAGACGAACGAAGACATACACACACACACACATGGAAACGCACAGCGGCGTCCGGGCACCACCGCACCACAGACTCAAGCCATGAAGCCTCCCTACGAGCCTCCGAACTGACGAGAAAAGAACGATGAATAAAGCCCTGTCAGCAGATCTAGCGCAAATCTCCCCTCCTCTTCCTGAGTCTTACTTACCCCTTGTGCGGCGGCGGCGTCGCGCCCCTCCTCGAATTCCGCGGAATGCCGGGTGAGCCAAGCCACGCGCCAAATTCACAAATCTCTTTTCCCTCCAATCCTCGGCGAGTCAAGGAACGGGCATCAATACCTACCTACCCGGTAAGAAGGACGTAGGACTGAATCAGGTACTTCTTATGAAGAAACAGCCAGAGGGTAAAGCCAAAAAGTATCGCAGCCTGTTTCCCCGTATGGACCCTCACACTATCAGAGAAGAGATTAGACTGTTAATCCGGATCGCAAAGATACCAAAAGGAAAAAAACATCCATCCGATAACGAAGGTATCCAAAGGTCGTCGGTATCCCACAATGCCAATGCCACTCGACAAAAGTCTTTTGCGATCCGGACACCCGCACAGAGTACCTTAGGTAGGTTTAGAACCAGGCGTTTACGCGTCTACATTTGTCCCCAGATAGTTATTTCCTCCAAGAATTCTGTATTCCGTACTGGACTGCCGATAGGTGTGTGTGTGTGTCCGTACCTCTGGGAAAACATTTTGGGCTTCCTACAAACCACAAGCCAAGATCGACTCCTCACCTGACAGCCTCAAACTTTATCGACCACCCCCCTCCTCCTCTCCATCCATACACTTATTCCCCCGCTCTCCCCCATCTAAATCTAACCACGGCAACAACAAAACCACACACATGATCGAAAACAAGATCCAAACAAACAACAGATGAACAAAACTCTCTCAGGGAAAAGCAGATCCATCCATCCCTCGGCAAACACTCCAGCTCGGCAAAAGACCTGTGCTTCCTCACCAAACCTGGACGGGGGGGGGGGGGACAACATCAATGAACAATCACAGGCCAAATATTCTCCTCAGTGTGAAAGACATCAAGAGTGAATCAAAATTTTACCCAAAATGCGCAAAAAAAAGGTGATTGAACGCATGTGGCAGTCATCCCCTCCCCTTCCCCTTGCCCTCCCTCCCCGAGAAACATGCAATGTAAATCACGTACCTCGTCCGTACTCTGGACTGGTATCAACCACTTTCACATGTCCACGAAACCTATCTCTCTCTCTCCGCAATCGCAAAATGCCAAAGCAACAATACTCTAGGATTGCAAAATCCAGCCCATTCTCAATGCGACTCTTCCTCTTCCTCTTCCTCTCCCACTCCCACTCCCCTTCCAATGTCCCTCCCTCCCCTGGCGCAGCCCTAGCGTAACCCGCCGG